TTTTGAGTTCAGAACTTGGAATTTCTTTCTGGTTACAGATAAGTGCTCAAAAAACAAACAAAAATATAGAAATTTAAGGGAAAAAAAATTCACACAGAATGTTGTTTATGATTCTGAAAGACCTCATTTAAATGCTAATTTGTGTATGCTGTTTAATCTGCAGCATCAGTCCTGCCCCCAAAACACTCATGAATCATGTTTTAATTTCTAGGGCAGACAGCGATGCGAGCATGAGCGTGATTTTTTGAATAATGTAGGAACAAAGGTATGACGTAACGTAAACAATTTCCCTCTGAGTGCTGCTAATTTATAGACATTTTAGCTGTGGCTGTGGGGGCGGGGAGGAGGGAGGCGAGGACGCGGATGGAAGAGAGGAGGAGGGGTGGATGGATGCAGGCATCCAAAGACAATCAGGAAGTGAGGAATAACTGTGGAGGAGGTGGATACTGAGCCTGTTTCCATGGTAACCTGCCAGTAGAGGGTGAAGGGGATGGGGATGGCATCGATGGGGGTTTGTGTGTTGATGTATATGAATGTAACATGGTGGATCAGATGGCATTGACGGAAATAAAAAAAAGATCACAGCCTCCTTCTCATCCATTTTCATCCTCAAATCAATAAATTTAGCATTGATTTGTTTTAGGCAGTTTCATTTTCATGCGTGTTTTTTCTGGGCAAAGGTGAGCAATAACATTTCACTTTATTTGCTCTCACTTAATCTTATTAGTTATGAGGCCATTAGCCTTGTTAAGACAGCCAATACTAAAACACAAACAAGTTCACCAAGAAGAACGCCGGCTCTAAAATACAAAAATGAATGGACTGTGAATCCAACAGTGTTACACCTGCTGTGAGTACAGGAGGTCTGAAGGTGCTCTTGAAGATGAAAACTGATCACAACAAAGAAAACAAATGTTCTTCTGCTGCTTGTGGACATACTTTGCGCAAAAGATCTATCACATGATGGCATTAATCAATCAACATAAAGGTAGAAACAGTTAACACGTCATGTTAGGACACAAAATATTTAAATTTGCTAAAAGTTACGCCATTTTAAAAGTGCTGAAACGAAAATGAGATAAAACAGTAAAATAAAGGCAAATGAAGGTTTTAATACTGACCTTTGCTTTGCATGAAGAATAGTTTGCTCATACTGTCTAAAATGAGTGACATAATATGAGGAGGACACATAGCACTGTGAAAATCCGAGAACAGTATCTGTGGGAGAGAATCTGTAACAGCAAACAAGGTGAGAGAAATGTTTTCATCTTTTGATGGGCCATTAAAGGCTTGTGATGTCTGATGCTTTTATTGTGAAAGGAGAAAGTGATAGCAGAAGAAAAGGAGGAGGGAAGGACAAAAGGTGACAGGAAAGTAGAATCACAAGCAAAAGGTTCGTCATCATTTATTTCATCCTGTGAAAAGGATTGAATAACAATATAAGATTTCTAATAGATTTTCAATGTGAAACTGTGTCCAGCCTGTCAGATTAGCATTTTGTGACTGAGATGATGTTGTAGGCTCAAATAGATTAAATCCAATGGGTTAATGCTATATTTCGCACTTGATTTCATCGTCCTGATTACTCTTCCTGTAAGGGTAACTTTACATCAACAATGTTTGTTTTCTAACTTCACATTAAGCCGAATAGATTTATTCGGTTATTATCAATATAAATTCAAATTACTTTTCAGAGAAACCATGAGAGACCATGTGGCAGGTCAGCCATGATTCTTTTATTGGTCTTATGGGGTTTGCATAGCCACGGATCTTGTATTTGCACGTCAATAAGTATTTAGTGAACTATGAATTGAAGTCAGGGCATCATTCAGCTACATATACACTGTTTAATTCCCTTTGCTGTGATATAAAAAAAAACATAATAGCCATCACTGACATGTTTTAGTAGTTCTAGATTTTCAGCTATAAGAAATGCTGTTACAGAATTTATTAGAATCATGTAGTTTTGAATTTTGCAGCCCTGATTGCTGGTTATTACTCGAAAACTAGCACACAAGTTTCCAGGTAATCATCACACTTCTTGTCATTTGAGTTAATAGATTATTAATCTGTAATAAGCTACAATACCAATATGTTATCAATATTTTAGTATACTATGGCTAATTGGTTGTTACCTTGGTGTTTAACTGGTAATAGCTTGCTATTTTCATTTTATTAGCTTCTTGTTAACACTTTATTACCTCACTAGTACTACATTATTATCAAGTCATAAAAGAACACTTATATCTTAAATTAAAATCACATGTATTAAATGTTTCAAACCTAAATTAGATTATTGATTTGCTTAGTTATAAGTCTTCCAATGATATATAAGTGTTTATAATTACACAATCATGTTAGATATGATTCCGCGACACACACGCACACATGCACAGGTCTATAAATCTGAGTCTTATCAGCAGTCTGCCCTCAGTCCTCCTGCTCTTGATCTTTAATATTTAATGAAGAGAGGAGAGAGCTGCTTTATTAGGATGGTAGGAGCACATTTGGTTCAATAATTTATGCAGTTACAAGCAGATTATAACAAATGGAAACACAGAAAACAGAGCATGAGCTCTGCTGACGTTCATTTTGGAGTCCCGGTTTAGCTGTTACACCATGATGTGTTTTTGTGTAGTTTCTAAAAACGCTTCAGTTACAGTCAAATGAGCATTATTTTTGTTGACCTCGTTCTCTACTTATCTCGCCTCAGCAGTTACCAGACCTAATTTACCCGCTAATGCAGAGTTAATTTTATCTCTTGTGAACTCCTTGATTTATTTTTTTTTAGCTGGATGGAAGCAGCTTCACTGTTTATATCTAACCGATCAGACATCTGATCGCTGCATTGCTGCACAAAAATCCCAGCACTGAAAAGACCTGCTGGTGTGTTTTCAGACGTGGCCTTACTGTACTGAAAAGCATCATGGAGGTCAGTGATTATTGACTGAGCTGAGGCTGCCCTCTGCTGTAAGATGTCAGCAAAAACAGCTGCTTTAGCATGAAAGGACACAGCTCATTTTTACATGTAAAATACATCAGTATATCACATCAGGCTAAAATAAAATACCTGCAAAAAACCAAACAAACAAACAGTCTTCACATGAGTTAGAAAGTCCCTTTAAATTAATGGTTCTACAATGTCAGTGAAAACAAGTTTGATTTGACTGCAAATTTACAGTAGCACCAGCGCTCGTGTAAAATATGACTGTGAATATATAAATGATTCTCCCAAGTTTAATTCTGTTGTATAGACCGACAAAAAGGTGACTTTTGTGGCAGGAATCTAAGTTTGTCCTCTTTTTTGCCCATCTAATGTCCAAGACCACAGGACAGAAGAGACTGTGAGACAAGTCTGTGATCCAACTTCAAATGACAATTTGAACCAAAAGACCTGCTCCAACTGATTTTTAGTCCAGTTTTTGTTTACTGTGGCATAAATCAGCCTTTTCTCCTCGCGCTCAAGTCCTTTGTCTGGCCTTTTCTGGATTTCTTTTCCTATTTCTTAAGGGCAGTTGTTTTTAGAGATACTGTTTATTTGCTGTAGGTGGATTTTAGGCACATAACTTCTTTTTTTGTGTAACATTTCCCCCCAATTTCCTCTTTTTAAAGACACACTGCAAAGATTTCTGGTAAGCACTTTTAAATGATCCTGAAGACCTTCAAAGGCAGACAGACAGATCCAATGAGAGGACTGAACTGTTGTGCAAGCCTTCAAATGTGCTGCGATCTGGATCAGGAAGATTGTTGAATGAAAATCCTCTGCCCATGTGCCCTGACCTAACTAACCTGTTTAAGCATTTTCATGCAACCATTAAATAGCACAGTTAGTCTACCTCAGTTTGATTTGTATAATATGAAAAAACATACATACACGTCACATTTAAAAACATGAGAATTTACATGTAAGCTTTAAATTTCCAGTTTATCAAACAGCATTGAGCAGTCCTTACCTTTAAATCTAACCTCTCTTCTTCCTCCACTTTAAACCCTGACTATGGACAATGTTTATTTTGCCTCTCCTATCTGTTTTTACGCACCATCCTGTGGTGATTAATACACAAGCATGATCAACTTTCATGTGTTCCAGTTCAGGCTCAAATCAGTTTGATGTTTGAAGGCTCGCAGTAAAATAATAACTCCCCTCAAATGTTAAACCAAAAGTACTCAAGTCATTTTACTCAGGTAAAGTACATATACCTGAAAATTCTACTTAAGTACAGTAACGAAGTATTTGTACTTTGTTACTTCCCACCTCTGCAGAAGTTCTTTATATCTAACACATTCTCGTTTATGATAGGTTTATGCTTACAAACCTGCAGGGAAACACAGATGGCAACCACCTGAAGGCCCATCGTCCACATCACCGCGTTCCTTAAAAAAAGAAGTTTAAATCTTTGTTCTTGGGTTAAAAAAATGATGTTGCCTGTCCAAAGTGAAAAGCTAAATTCTACAGAGGATTCTGTGGCTGGGTTTTTATCTGTGGGTGTTCACATGTGTTGAGTGTTACATCAGTCACTGCAGGATAAATATAATGCTGAACGGCATTCCCCTTTTTCTTTTGCAGAATCCAGGTTTACATGATGAGGGGAAATACCTTGCATGTTCTGCAGTCCTCTGCTGGTGTGTATGTTTTCCTCCTGCTGGACTTTGCCTTTTGACTCGGCTCATGTGTCCTTTTCTGGTAGGGGGTCCCGTTCTGTTTGTTCCCCTTGGACTCTGGTTGTTGATTTGGACTTTTCTTGTGGATTTTCCAGATGTGCAACTTCATAAATGAACGAGATGTGCTTGTATGATCTCCCTTGTTTTTGGTTAAAAACACGTTAATTACAAATGAATCAAATGAACATTATTGTTGTTGTTGACTTCTTTCCCTACTTATTTTCCACAGCGGTTATCAGTTGAATTTATATGTTATATAATCACACCAGAGTGAATATTTAAAGCAACAAGCTGGAAGCAGCTTCAATGTTTATATCTAACTAATCAAACGTTTGACTGTTGCAATGGTGCAAGAAATCCCACCAGCGAAAAGACCTGCTGGTGTTGTTTTAGAGGTGACCATACTGTACTGAAAAGCTAGGAAGTTAATGACCAAACTGAGGCTGGCTCTGCTGTAAGATGCCAGTGAAACCAGCCGCCTTATCATAAAATTTCTGAACTTACTTGAAGGACACACAGCTCCTTTTGAGCTCTAAAACCGCTACATAAAATCTCTACCTAAAGTAAAATACATGCAAGAAACAAATACTCTTGCAGTCTTTGTTGGGTTATAAAGTGCTTATAAGTGAGCCGGTATTACACTTTCAATGATAGCACGTTCGATTGATGTGCAAATTTACAGCTTCACCAACATGCATGCAAAATATGACGTCGATTTGAATAAACTGTAAATGATTCACCCAAGCAGATGTTGCAGTGCTACAACACACTGTGCCTTTTGTGGCAGTAAGTCACATTATGTCTACATTTCTTTTAAAAAGTTTAAGTTTGTTCTATTTTTACTCGTCTTAAGTTACTGTGCCATTAATTGGAGAAGAGGAAACTGATTAAGACAACAGGGAGAGACAACATTGCAGTATGGGATGTACCTTTAAACTCCCCTTCATTTTCCACAGGTGGTGTTTAGTTTCAGAAAAGAAATGTTTGGAAAAAGGTGATTGTGCAAAAACTTTGAATATCGTCAGCCTCGTCATGTCCTTAAGTACATATTTAGTACTAACATGTTGGCTCTTGACTAATAAACAAAATATTTAAAGCAACTAATTAATGTTAAATATGTTTACCTCCATATTTGTAACTGGGATTAGTTTTGTAGTTTTACTGGATGATGTTCAATGTGTACTTGCAGATATCTGTGTGATCGAGTCAGTCTGAAAAAGGTTTAATAGATCAGCAAGTGCAATTAGTCTTTTCTCTCTTCCCTCAAATTTGTGCTTGTTTTTCTTTTCTTTTTTCTTTTTAAAGGATTCACTTCATACCCCTTTAATCGTTCCCTGACCCCTATCAGATTTTGCATGGACTACTTAATTTGCCTCGACCTCTACATAGGGTGCTGTTGTGGATGAATCTGGTTAAAACCCCCTGAATTTCTGGCAGCTTCAAATCAGCCTGAATCTAATGGAGAATGTTCATCCATATGTTTGTCTCCTATATGGATCCTCTTCTTGTTTAAGTTAAGTAGAGCCTCTTCCAGCATCCACAGGGGTCCTGGACAGGACAGCAAGTGATTGTTCTGGAGCTCCATCTGCTGTTGATATCATAGAATAACATGCATCGCTTTTGTGGAAGGTTTAGAAATGAGTACTTCAGAAGGAAAGCTCAGGTTGAGCAGTTTGCACACAAAGTTAGAGAAGTAAGGTTGACATGCTCTGGACGTGTGCCGACGAGGAATGGAGGATATGCTGGACGACGACTGGTGAAGATGGACCTCCAGGCAAAAGGCATGAAGACCATAGGGCGAGATGTTGGCAGGTGATCTGCTGCAGCGACCCCTAAAGGAAGCAGCTAAAAGAACAAGACTTAAAATTGCAGTACTGAGCTTGTCTGGACTTTTGCTCAACAAAAAGTAAGTAACATGCCACAATATTATGCGGCCCCTTAATGGCCCCTGAATTTTTAAACATCCTGAATTCACCCCCAGCTTTTCATGAGAAGAGACCATAGCTTTAACTGGATTTTTTTTTTTTTATTACATCTGGGTTGGTTTCAAATTCAGATCACATGCACAACTTTAATCAATGATACATGACACTGGTACACTCCTCCAGCGATTATTTCATCATGATTTTTCAGCTGAGAAATACATTTCTGCTCTTTTTTAGCTGCTTTCACTGCTGTGAGACCATAGCAGAAAACTCTATCAGAGGAACATTATAGACACTAGCAGGAAATTCACATCTGAGCTCTTCAACAGGACTCAGCAGCGTCACGTTGGTCTCATTCAACCAAGTCAGGAAGCTCTTCAGATCAGCGTTGCAGTGGAATCGGTTCATCCGGAGGTCGAGGAAGCTCAGAGAGCGGAAAGTGGCAGGGTTAGGCGAGGCTATGAAGTTGTTGGAAAGGTAGAGTGCTTTTAGACTTGTTGGAAATATGTCAGGCTGGATATATGTTAAGGCGTTGTACGAGAAGTCCATCTCTCTTACTGAAGTGAGGCCCTTGAAAACACCTTGAGGGAGTGACTGCAGCGCATTGAAGCTCAAATTGAGACCAGCAACATGCCCAAAATTGTCAAACAGATTGAGACATTTACCCTGAGCCCAAACAGACTGCAGGGAGCTGCTGTGAAGATCAAGAACTGTGAGATTATTCAGACCGACTCGTCTGCTGAAGGAGCAACTCCTGATTCTGTTTCCTCCATAAAAGAGATGCCTCAGCCGTTTTAAACCGGTCAAAATGGTGGAGACATCCTCCAAGTCTGTTAATCTGTTGTCCTGAAGGTCTAGATGCATGAGGTTACTGGCAAACTGAGAGATGCTGCTCACTGATGAGGGTGCCAACTTGTTGTCATTTAGTAAAAGAAAATCTAAACTTGGTAGAGGAGCAGGGAAGCCTAAATCTCTCAGAGAGTTTCCTGTTAGATATAATAATTTCAGGTTGGGAAGTCGACTAAATGACTGATAACCCAGTGCACCAATGTGATTATGAGACAAATCTAATACCTGGAGGTTTGTCAGAGAAGCAAATGTGTAAGAATAGATTTCCCCAAGCAGGTTGTGTGACAGGTTGAGCACTTTTAAATGATCCTGAAGACCTTCAAAGGCATTTCTGTGTATTTGATTCACTTTGTTTTGGGATATATCAATGATTGTGACTTCTTTCAGTGAACTAAACACCCCTTGTTGCAATGCAAATATTCTGCTTTTAGACAGATCCAAAGAGAGGACTGAACTGTTGTGCAAGCCTTCAAATGTGCTGCGATCTGGATCAGGAAG